TTGCACCGCTGCTTTTCCTTATTCCCATATCAGATATAGACGCAAAGACAAGGCACAGCATCGTATCATCCTTTGCAGATGACACAAAATTCAGCATGGAAATTACCTCTGCTGAACACATTGAAAAACTACGAGCAGATGTTAATAAAGTCTTCGACTGGTCAGCAAAAAATAACATGATGTCTAGCAGCGATAAATTCCAGGCACTCAGATACAGTAAAAATGAGAACCTTAAACATAATACAGGGTAAAAAAAAACACAATCAAATTTAGTAGGAATAGTATGCATAGTAGGAGTGCAACATGTAAAGGATTTCGAAATAATGATGTGTGACGACCTAACGTTTAGGGAGCATAACCAAGCAAATATTGCCTCATCCAGAAAAATGATAGGACGGATTACAAGAACTTTCAAATCCAGGGATCTCATCATAATGGTGTTTCTCTTCAAATCACTTGTGTTGTCCCGTCTTGAGTACTGCTCAGTACTCACTTCCCGCTTCAGAGCAAGAGAGATTACTGAAATCGAGGGAATACAGAGAAAATATACGGCACGCATAGACGCGATAAAGCACTTAAATTATTGGGATCGTCTCAAAGCTCTCCAAATGTACTCACTAGAACGAAGACGAGAGATATCAAATAATATACACATGGAAAATACTGGAGGGGTAGGGTTCTAAATCTACACAGTAAAATAACAACGTACTGGAGTGAACGATATGGAAGAAAATGCAGAATAGAACCAATGAAGAGCAGAGGTGCCATGTGTACAATCAGAGAACACTGTATAAACATCAGAGGTCCGCGGTTGTTAAACATCCTCACAGTGACTATGAGAAATATTGCCGGAACAACCGTGGACATCTTCAAGAGAAAACTAGATAGTTTTCTCCAAAGATTTTGAGTGTTGCCGCCGAAGGCGGCTAGTTTATTGTGCACCTCATACTCATCCTGAGAGCGGTAGCGCAAAAAGCATTACAGATAGCATGAAAGGTCTTTGTCAGACCTCATCTTAGATTATTGCATAAACAATTTCACCTGTCGTTCACACCTTATAGTTACAATGTCAGCTAGTTACAGAGAATGTTCTATTTCAAGAGCTATATATTTACGGAAAGACGTTATACATGAATGGTAGGTCTTATCGCTAATACATAATAGTTTGACAATGGAGATATCACAGAGTCATAGGGAAGCTGCTGTTTATTATTGGTCTTCGCAATACACTACTTGTTTCTTAATCTCATATGTCGTTTATCTACTGGAAGCAAAATATTGATACAGTGCAAGGATTTCAGGTATTTTTCTCTTGGTAATAAGATAGGTTGCCATATCATATATCGTGAGCTTAGATTTATCTCTAAATGGCTCAATTTTACTACAATCCAAGATATAGTGTTCGGGCGTGTGTCCCGGTCTTTGTCCACACACTTTACACTTTACTTCATCTAGATCCCTATATAAGCCGAACTGCTAGAGATACTTGTAGCCAAGTCTTATACGAGCTGTGACAACATCTGTAAGTCTACTTACTTTTAGTGGGCCAGCCAGAGGCTTAGGGCCCACGCAAGAATATCCCTGCAAATAAAAAAAAAAAGTCTACTGACTTTGTTACTTGCCCCATACACATGTTTTATTTCACACATTTCATTGTGATAAACAATGGACCTGCTAGTTCCAGTTTGCACTGTTCTACTTTCTTCAAATTCATCTAGGAGTTCTCGTCTAATGACACTTTTAAGGGACCTATTTGATAACTCAAGATTCTGTTCAATACTCTCTTTATTTACTGCAGCCTTAGCAAGGGCGTCAACTTTGTTACGTTCCTGCAGGCCAATGTGAGAAGGAATTCACAACATTTTTATATTTACCCTATTGCTAAGTATGCTTATATATCTATGTCTGGCTCCTGAGACAAGCACGTTATTACTTGATTGCAAACTGTTTATTGCTCGTAGTGAGGAAAGGGAGTCGGAAATTATTAAACTGTCTACTTCAGTGTTGTCAATAATTTCGAGTGCTACCAACTCTGCTTGCATTGTGGATACCCAGTTACTAATTCTTATATTCCTTTGAATTGTGCTGCCATCGGGCTGATGAGCAATAACAGCACTTCCTGCCCTCCCTGTAGCTGAATTGAGTATATGACAATATACATCAGTGTATATGGTCTGTGTTATGATGTTTTCAGCTTGTATATTGTGTATGTGTTCTATGGTGCTTAATTTAGCAGCAAGCTGAGCATGAGGGTTGTTTGTGATTAGTTTCTTGGTGGGGTATGCAGGCGTCAGGATGTCAAAAGGTACTATCTGCCAGGGTGGAAGGAAGTGCTGTACTCTTTCATCTGTATATACATCGTGCAGTCCCATCATTTTAATATGAGTGGCTGTTCTTTGAATCCATTTAGACTCGCTGGTTCCATTTCGTATGTGTTCTAACAGTTCAACTGACACAATGTTGTTTTTGTTATCACGCAGAAGCTTTAGTCCAATCATAAGATTAATTTCAAATATTCCATATCTCCAATGCTAAGTACATTTAATTCTTTCCGCATATTGAGAACTTTGGTAGTTATAGGACAGCCAAGTATAATTCTGAATGCTTCATTTTGCATTTTTTTCCAGACTAATACTTTACTTTTACTTTAAATACTTTTGCCATTTTGCAGGACTAAAGCTGGTGCATGATAGTATATCAGAGACCTTATATACGCTAAATACATCATTTTTGCTATTATAATATTAACACCATATTTCGGGCTGTACCCCACTACAGTTCTGAGAGCCTTGAGTCTGTCTCTACATTGTTGATGTAACTTATTGACTGCCGTTGAGGTACAAGGGACAGAGACTCCAAGGTATTTGAAAGAAGAGACATAGTCTATTGGTATGTTGTCTATCTTAAGTTTTCGTGGTCCACTTTTGCGGTTGCCAATTTGTCTGTTAAATACCTTAGTTTTAGCAGCGTTGATTACAAGACCAAGGCTCTCACAAGCTGTATGTATACAATTTAAGATTGCATTTCGCGGTGGGTTTTAGTATGTACAAGGATGTCATCTGCATAGCTGATAGTGATGTTTGCCGGACTAGTTGGGACTGATTTTAGTAAGGCATTAATTAGAACATTAAACAAGGTAGGACTGAGTACTCCTTCTTGTGGAATGCCTAGTTGCATTAATTTAATTTCACTCTTGTAGCCTTGGAACAGTGCAGAGGACTTCCGGTTGGTAAGATAGCCTCGTATCCATTGTAATAATTGTCCACCTATATCCATTCTCGCTAATTCATACATAATCACTTCCCTATTATCAATATCAAAGACATTTTTTAAATCAAGAAATGTTGTGTACTTGAGCCTTTTATCTCCATGAACAGTAAGAAAGGTTGTGATACAGTTGTGTACACTTTTACCATGTGTGAAACCATTGATATCAGGTGACATGTGCTCTTTAACTCTATACAATAATCTATTAAGCACCATTCTCTCAACGGTTTTGCACATGCAACTGGTCAGTGAGATGGGACGAAAAGCATCAGGTTGGCAGGCTTTGGTACAGGTACAGTAAGACGGGTCCAAGGAGTGCCGGACCAACCGGGCTGTGGTGGGTGTGTGGGCCTGCGGGCCGCTCCAAGCAACAGCCTGGTGGATCAAACTCTCACAAGTCAAGCCTGGCCTCGGGCCGAGCTTGGGGAGTAGAACAACTCCCAGAACCCCATCAAGCAGGGGTGAGTGTGGTGGGGGGTAGTTGTAGGGCGGAGTGTGGTGGGGGGTAGTTGTGGGGGTGAGTGTGGAGGGGTGGTAGTTGTGGGGGTGAGTGTGGTGGGGGGTAGTTGTATGGCGGAGTGTGGTGGGGAGCTAGTTGTGGGGGTGAGAGTGGAGGGGTGGTAGTTGTGGGGGTGAGTGTGGTGGGATGGTAGTTGTGGGGGTGAGTGTGGTGGGGGTAGTTGTGGGGGTGAGTGTGGTGGGGTGGTAGTTGTGGGGCGGAGTGTGGTGGGGTGGTAGTTGTGGGGCGGAGTGTGGTGGGATGGTAGTTGTGGGGGTGAGTGTGGTGGGGTGGTAGTTGTGGGGCGGAGTGTGGTGGGGTGGTAGTTGTGGGGCGGAGTGTGGTGGGGTGGTAGTTGTGGGGGTGAGTGTGGTGGGGTGGTAGTTGTGGGGCGGAGTGTGGTGGGGTGGTAGTTGTGGGGCGGAGTGTGGTGGGGGGTAGTTGTGGGGGTGAGTGGGGTGATAGTTGTGGGGGTGAGTGTGGTGGGGGGGTAGTTGTGGGGGTGAGTGGGGTGATAGTTGTGGGGGTGAGTGTGGAGGGGGGGTAGTTGTGAGGGTGAGTGTGATGGGGTGGTAGTTGTGGGGGTGAGTGTGGTGGGGGGTAGTTGTGGGGGTGAGTGTGGTGGGGGGTAGTTGTGGGGGTGAGTGTGGTGGGGGGTAGTTGTGGGGGTGAGTGTGGTGGGGGGTAGTTGTGGGGGTGAGTGTGGTGGGGGGTAGTTGTGGGGGTGAGTGTGGTGGGGTGGTAGTTGTGGGGCGGAGTGTGGTGGGGCGGAGTGTGGTGGGGTGGTAGTTGTGGGGCGGAGTGTGGTGGGGTGGTAGTTGTGGGGCGGAGTGTGGTGGGGTGGTAGTTGTGGTAGTGAGTGTGGTAGAGGGCGCCGCCTGGCAGTGCGGAGTGTGGTGGGGTGGTAGTTGTGGTAGTGAGTGTGGTAGAGGGCGCCGCCTGGCAGTGCGGAGTGTGGTGGGGTGGTAGTTGTGGTAGAGGGCGCCGCCTGGCAGTGCGGAGTGTGGTGGGGTGGTAGTTGTGGTAGTGAGTGTGGTAGAGGGCGCCGCCTGGCAGTGCGGAGTGTGGTGGGGTGGTAGTTGTGGTAGAGGGCGCCGCCTGGCAGTGCGGAGTGTGGTGGGGTGGTAGTTGTGGTAGTGAGTGTGGTAGAGGGCGCCGCCTGGCAGAGCGGAGTGTGGTGGGGTGGTAGTTGTGGTAGTGAGTGTGGTAGAGGGCGCCGCCTGGCAGTGTGGTGGTCGAGGTGGAGGTTGCCTGGGGTACGGGCTGCCAGTGTTGACTAGGCGGTGGAGGGAAGTAGTCGCGTCGCTCCGCTCTCTTGGTCTCTCCACTCCCTTTCTCTCTGCTCCCACTTCCGTGCTGCAGTGGTGTGTGTGTTGGTGTTGGGGGAGTGGTGGTGCGTCTGGACGCCATCACACAACACCACCCAAGCCAACTGTGCTCAAGGTTCGCTCCTCTTTGTTACCCGAACATAGTTATTTCTCTCCCTCATATTTGTGATTGACGGTTCTTCGCGAAGAACCCTGTGAACATTGACGTTTTCTTTGTGAACATTTACACGTTACTGTTCTTCAGACTCATTCGCTGAGTCCCAGCACCTGGCTCTGGAGATCATTGTATATTGAAACAATATTAATCTATTGCGTTTCGCCTGGATATTACTTAACGTTGAAACGAAAATCTATATTCTAGTATTTTCCCATTTGTGTGGCGTGGGTAAGATTGTGTGTCCTCGGAGGGGCGGTGTGGGGCTCAGTCCTGTGGAGACACCTTCAGGAGGCTGTGTGTGGGGCTCAGTCCTGTGGAGACACCTTCAGGAGGCTGTGTGTGGGGCTCAGTCCTGTGGAGACACCTTCAGGAGGCTGTGTGTGGGGCTCAGTCCTGTGAAGACACCTTCAGGAGGCTGTGTGTGGGGCTCAGTCCTGTGGAGACACCTTCAGGAGGCTGTGTGTGGGGCTCAGTCCTGTGGAGACACCTTCAGGAGGCTGTGTGTGGGGCTCAGTCCTGTGAAGACACCTTCAGGAGGCTGTGTGTGGGGCTCAGTCCTGTGGAGACACCTTCAGGAGGCTGTGTGTGGGGCTCAGTCCTGTGGAGACACCTTCAGGAGGCTGTGTGTGGGGCTCAGTCCTGTGAAGACACCTTCAGGAGGCTGTGTGTGGGGCTCAGTCCTGTGAAGACACCTTCAGGAGGCTGTGTGTGGGGCTCAGTCCTGTGAAGACACCTTCAGGAGGCTGTGTGTGGGGCTCAGTCCTGTGAAGACACCTTCAGGAGGCTGTGTGTGGGGCTCAGTCCTGTGAAGACACCTTCAGGAGGCTGTGTGTGGGGCTCAGTCCTGTGGAGACACCTTCAGGAGACACTACTTCCTCCCGCCACCACCACCAGCTTTAAGGTAAGACAGTGAGTGTCCTCAAACCAACCCCCCTCAGGTTTTCTTGTGTGTGTGTGTGTGTGTGTGTGTGTGTGTGTGAAGGGATGTGAGTGAGGGTGTGTGTGAGAGGGTGTAAGTGAGGGGAGTGTGTGAAGGATGTGTGTGAGGGGTGAGTGAGGCGGTGCGTGAGGGGTGTGTGTGTGTGTGGGAGTGTGTGTGTGTGTGTGTGTGTGTGAAGGGATGTGAGTGAGGGTGTGTGTGAGAGGGTGTAAGTGAGGGGAGTGTGTGAAGGGTGTGTGTGAGGGGTGAGTGAGGCGGTGCGTGAGGGGTGTGTGTGTGTGTGTGTGTGTGTGGGAGTGTGTGTGTGTGTGGGGGAGTGTGTGTGTGTGTTTGGGAGTGTGTGTGTGTGTGTGGGAGTGTGTGTGTGTGTGTGTGTGTGTGTGTATGGGAGTGTGTGTGTGTGTGTGGGAGTGTGTGTGGGAGTGTGTGTGTGTGTGTGTGTGTGTGTGTGTGTGTGTGGGAGTGTGTGTGTGCGTGTGTGTGGGAGTGTGTGTGTGTGTGGGAGTGTGTGTGTGGGAGTGTGTGTGTGGGAGTGTACTCACCTAGTTGTACTCACCTAGTTGTGTTTGCGGGGGTTGAGCTCTGGCTCTTTGGTCCCGCCTCTCAACCGTCAATCAACAGGTGTACAGATTCATGAGCCTATCGGGCTCTGTCATATCTACACTTGAAACTGTGTATGGAGTCAGCCTCCACCACATCACTTCCATATGTGTGGGAGTGTGTGTGGGAGTGTGGGAGTGTGTGTGGGAGTGTGTGTGTGTGTGTGGGAGTGTGTGTGTGTGTGTGGGAGTGTGTGTGTGTGTGTGGGAGTGTGGGAGTGTGTGTGTGTGTGTGGGAGTGTGTGTGTGTGGGAGTGTGTGTGTGTGTGTGGGAGTGTGTGTGTGTGTGTGGGAGTGTGTGTGGGAGTGTGTGTGGGAGTGTGTGTGTGTGTGTGTGGGAGTGTGTGTGTGGGAGTGTGTGTGTGGGAGTGTGTGTGTGTGTGTGTGTGTGGGAGTGTGTGTGTGGGAGTGTGTGTGTGTGGGAGTGTGTGTGTGTGTGTGGGAGTGTGTACTCACCTATTTGTGCTTGCAGGATCGAGCATTGACTCTTGGATCCCGCCTTTCCAGCTATCGGTTGTTTACAGCAATGACTCCTGTCCCATTTCCCTATCATACCTAGTTTTAAAAGTATGAATAGTATTTGCTTCCACAACCTGTTCCCCAAGTGCATTCCATTTTTCCACTACTCTCACGCTAAAAGAAAACTTCCTAACATCTCTTTGACTCATCTGAGTTTCCAGTTTCCACCCATGTCCCCTCGTTCTGTTATTATTACGTGTGAACATTTCATCTATTTCCACTTTGTCAATTCCCCTGAGTATTTTATATGTCCCTATCATATCTCCTCTTTCCCTTCTTTTCTCTAGTGTTGTAAGGTTCAGTTCCTTCAGCCGCTCTTCATATCCCATCCCTCGTAACTCTGGGACAAGCCTCGTCGCAAACCTCTGAACCTTCTCCAGTTTCTTTATGTGTTTCTTCAGGTGGGGGCTCCATGACGGCGCGGCATACTCTAAGACTGGTCTCACGTAGGCAGTGTAAAGCGCCCTAAAAGCCTCCTCATTTTGGTTTCTGAATGAAGTTCTAATTTTCGCCAGTGTAGAGTACGCTGCTGTCGTTATCCTATTTATATGTGCCTCAGGAGTTAGATTAGGTGTCACATCCACTCCCAGGTCTCTTTCTCGAATCGTTACAGGTAGGCTGTTCTCCTTCATTGTGTACTGTCCCTTTGGTCTCCTGTCACCTGATCCCATTTCCATAACTTTACATTTACTGGTGTTAAACTCCAGTAGCCATTCCCCTGATCATCTCTGCAGCCTGTTTAAGTCCTCTTGGAGGATCCTACAATCCTCGTCTGTCACAACTCTTCTCATTAATTTTGCGTCATCTGCAAACATTGACATGTATGATTCCACTCCTGTAAACATATCATTTACGTAAATTAGAAAGAGGATTGGTCCCAGCACCGATCCTTGAGGTACTCCACTTGTTACTGTTCGCCAGTCCGACTTCTCGCCCCTTACCATTACCCTCTGGCTCCTTCCTGTTAGGTAGTTCTTCACCCATACTAGGACCTTTCCGCTTACTCCTGCCTGCCTCTCAAGTTTGTATAGCAGTCTCATGTGCGGTACTGTGTGTAGAGGGGTGTGTGTGTGTAGAGGGGTGTGTGTGTGTAGAGGGGTGTGTGTGTGTAGAGGGGTGTGTGTGTGTAGAGGGGTGTGTGTGTGTAGAGGGGTGTGTGTGTGTAGAGGGGTGTGTGTGTGTAGAGGGGTGTGTGTGTGTGTAGAGGGGTGTGTGTGTGTGTAGAGGGGTGTGTGTGTGTGTAGAGGGGTGTGTGTGTGTGTAGAGGGGTGTGTGTGTGTGTAGAGGGGTGTGTGTGGGTAGAGGGGTGTGTGTGTGTGTAGAGGGGTGTGTGTGTGTGTAGAGGGGTGTGTGTGTGTGTAGAGGGGTGTGTGTGTGTGTAGAGGGGTGTGTGTGTGTGTAGAGGGGTGTGTGTGTGTGTAGAGGGGTGTGTGTGTGTGTAGAGGGGTGTGTGTGTGTGTAGAGGGGTGTGTGTGTGTGTAGAGGGGTGTGTGTGTGTGTAGAGGGGTGTGTGTGTGTGTAGAGGGGTGTGTGTGTGTGTAGAGGGGTGTGTGTGTGTGTAGAGGGGTGTGTGTGTGTAGAGGGGTGTGTGTGTGTAGAGGGATGTGTGTGTGTAGAGGGGTGTGTGTGTGTGTAGAGGGGTGTGTGTGTGTGTGTGAGGGGTGTGTGTGTGTGTGTGTGAGGGGTGTGTGTGTGTGTGTGTGTGAGGGGTGTGTGTGTGTGTGTGTGTGAGGGGTGTGTGTGTGTGTGTGTGAGGGGTGTGTGTGTGTGTGTGTGAGGGGTGTGTGTGTGTGTGTGTGTGAGGGGTGTGTGTGTGTGTGTGTGAGGGGTGTGTGTGTGTGTGTGTGAGGGGTGTGTGTGTGTGTGTGTGAGGGGTGTGTGTGTGTGTGTGTGAGGGGTGTGTGTGTGTGTGTGTGAGGGGTGTGTGTGTGTGTGTGTGAGGGGTGTGTGTGTGTGTGTGTGAGGGGTGTGTGTGTGTGTGTGTGTGAGGGGTGTGTGTGTGTGTGAGGGGTGTGTGTGTGTGTGTGTGTGAGGGGTGTGTGTGTGTGTGTGTGTGAGGGGTGTGTGTGTGTGTGTGTGAGGGGTGTGTGTGTGTGTGTGTGAGGGGTGTGTGTGTGTGTGTGTGAGGGGTGTGTGTGTGTGTGAGGGGTGTGTGTGTGTGTGAGGGGTGTGTGTGTGTGTGAGGGGTGTGTGTGTGTGTGAGGGGTGTGTGTGTGTGTGAGGGGTGTGTGTGTGTGTGAGGGGTGTGTGTGTGTGTGGGGGGTGTTTGTGTGTGTGGGGGGGGTGTGTGTGTGTGAGGGGGTGTGTGTGTGTGAGGGGTGTGTGAGGTGTGAGGGGGTGAGTGTGAGGGGTATGAGTGAGGGGTGTGTGAGGTGTGGGGGGGTGAGTGTGAGGGGGTGAGTGAGGGGGTGTGAGGTGCCCCAAGCGTCTCCTGCCGCTGGTCTACTTCCCCACTATGGTGCCATTAAGCTCTAGCTTAAGAGATCTTCTAGTAATATTTTTGATGTTTCATGTATATAGCCTAAGCTGAGCACTCAAGCCAGCCACGACACTGTCCTTACGGTGAAGGCTCGTCAATACATATATACATACATACATACCCATGCATTTATATATATATATATATATATATATATATATATATATATATATATATATATATGAATGAAAACTCACACCCCAGAAGTGACTCGAACCCATACTCCCAGAAGCAACGCAACTGGTAACTACAGGGCGCCTTAATCCGCTTGACCATCACGGCCGTCAAAAGGAAGTGATAGCCGAGGCTATTTGAGCCACTTCCCCGACGGCAACTCGGATGGTAATCTTGGGCATAGCATTTCACCAAATCACCTCATTCTTTGGGGCACACGTGAGGAACACAAATGCGAACAAACCATTCAGGCTTGTTCGCATATATATATATATATATATATATATATATATATATATATATATATATATATATATATATGCATGGGAGGTTGTATATATATATCAGAATATTCAATATATTATTAATATTTAAATTTTACGTAAACGCCTTCGTGCATCTAGAATTCTACAGGGTAAAGAAACACTTGGCTACTGAGTCCTTGTGTAGAGGGGATGTAGGGAAGGTGGTGAAGGTGAGGGAAGGTGGTGAAGGTGAGGGAAGGTGGTGAAGGTGAGGGAAGGTGGTGAAGGTGAGGGAAGGTGGTGAAGGTGAGGGAAGGTGGTGAAGGTGAGGGAAGGTGGTGAAGGTGAGGGAAGGTGGTGAAGGTGAGGGAAGGTGGTGAAGGTGAGGGAAGGGGGTGAGGGAAGGTGGTGAAGGTGAGGGAAGGTGGTGAAGGTGAGGGAAAGTGGTGAAGGTGATGAAGGGGAGGGAAGGTGGTGACGGTGAGGGAAGGTGGTGACGGTGAGGGAAGGTGGTGACGGTGAGGGAAGGTAGTGAAGGTGAGTGAAGGTGGTGAAGGTGAGGGAAGGTGGTGAAGGTGAGGGAAGGTGGTGACGGTGAGGGAAGGTAGTGAAGGTGAGTGAAGGTGGTGAAGGTGAGGGAAGGTGGTGACGGTGAGGGAAGGTGGTGACGGTGAGGAAAGGTGGTGAGGGAAGGTGGTGAAGGTGAGTGAAGGTGAGGGAAGGTGGTGAAGGTGAGGGAAGGTGGTGACAGTGAGGGAAGGTGAAGGTGAGGGAAGGTGGTGAGGGAAGGTGGTGACGGTGAGAGAAGGTGGTGACGGTGAGGGAAGGTAGTGAAGGTGAGGGAAGGTGGTGAAGGTGAGGGAAGGTGGTGACGGTGAGGGAAGGTGGTGACGGTGAGGAAAGGTGGTGACGGTGAGGGAAGGTGGTGAAGGTGAGTGAAGGTGA